ATAATACGATTGAACTGTAGCCACGGGCTACGTGTTCGTTCATAACCTTGCATTCACATCAGTTGGATCCATTAGCCGTGACGCAACACCGAAGACTGACAACTCCCACAGGCAATCCGCAACAGCACTTCGCTTCGGTCATGACTTGGCGTGTAACTTCGCCAGAAGAAGTCCCCCTTTCGGGTACTGTTCGCCTCAAGAAGAGAGAAGTCACGAACTAGGCCCAGACTGACAAGGACCCAACAGCACTTCGCTTCGGTCATGACTTGGTGTGTAACTTCGCCAGAAGTCCCCCTTTCGGGTACTGCTTGCCTCAAGAAGAGGGAAGTAACGAACTAGGCCCAGACTGACAAGGACTCTTGGGCACAGTGGCACTTTTTCAGACGAGTCTCTTATGAATCCGAGTAACCAATTCACCTTGGACTAGTTTTTTACTTTGCACTAGGAGTGCCACCTGTGTGCAGGTAACATTGAAGGGGGAACATTTGTACTCATTGAGCACAGTGAAGTAGGGGGGAACCGGTGGGAAAAGTAACCAGTACGATTCCAATAGGATGGAACAGAATCACATGTCACATTAACCGCTGCATCCGACTAACTCATCGATTTTGTCCACCGTCGTTTATCCGTGCAACTGAACAAAACCGGATATGGAAGCAAATGGCGGCAAGATACCAGCACTTGGTCTTTCAAACTAGTGTACCGTATAACGTGTAGTTTGCAGCCCCTAAGATGGACAGAAAAAATAGCTGATCATTGCTTTATTCTCCTGTAAGGTGATCTTGCTTTTGCACACATGAAATGTATGAAATCCACCGGTCACTTTCACTCAAGTCTTAGCAGAAATTTTATCCCGCTGCTTGTTTAAGGCTTTTGAGCAGCAACTACAGGGGAGCATACCTGAAGCATTCAGCCATTGTCAAGCTCATTCGAAAACTATGGTGTGGACCCGTTAAAATCATGTCGCACTTTGAAAGCCCAATTTCATATGGGACAATTCTCAGTCTATCCTTTATCGCAGACTTATTTGATACTTTCTGAAAGTATTGCATGTTAAAAGACGTAACCAAATAGCTTAATTACTAGTAGCAGTGTACGTCTGCTTGACAAGAGGACGGTTTTTTCGGCTTGAAAAAGTTCGACGATTGTTGCGCATGTTGAACCGCTGCCTGAACTTGTGCGAATCGATCGTTGATTACAATCGGGGCTCTACAGGCTCCGAGCCAAAACAACTAAAAGTCTGCAAGACGGAAAATGCACACAAAACGATGAAAAGTAAGGGCTAAAAAACATGAAGAAACGGGGGAAAAGAATCCTGTTCACATATACCTTGGGAGAAAGTGATGACCTGGTGATCACATCGTGTAACGTCGTTGCCACCAGATCCTTTTCTGCGGCCTGAACAATTTGGGTAGGTGGGCCACTTTCTGGCTGGATAAAGGAAGAATGTCGAAGAGTAAATTCTACATTTGCTTCATGCCTAGTATGTGCCAAGCTAGTACTGAGTAGCAGCATGCCAAAGCAGATCGACTCACCGTCGAAGTTGACTGGGGGACAGGAGACACTCGTCTGATGGGAGATGGAGTGCATTGCACGTCGGTGAATGAGTACTGGGCCGGTGTAGTAAACGCGTTGGTTTCAGGTAAACTGGGTGAACTTTCAAGTTGGTAGGTTTGGTTCAACGGGGTGAATCCCAGCTGGTCCGGTGGTGTCTGCATGAGAGCTGAAAAAAACGAAATAGAATCAATGAATATGGACATTTTTCAACACGCATCTACCATACGACCCAAACATAGCAGACGGGCTGAGATGCCTCCAGGTTTCCCAAACCAAGATAAGGACAACGGAAAAGTTGGGAATGTTTGGAACCATGAAGAACCTGATCAGTAACTAACGCTTAATCCCCCTAACATGCAGACGACCCTGCAAAAAAGCTGACGCTTTCATAAACTGATGGAGCACATTTGCTAGGTAGTTACCCAAGAAAGGATAAACCCCAGGATTTTTCACACCCACTGAACACATTCATCCCAACTGCTGTATGTGACAATCACCAAGCACGAATAGTATAGTGAGCTCGAGATAACTCAGTAGTTAAGGCACAAACTCACTGAATGGAAGGCTCGTGGTTCGAACCCAATACCGGCATTTCGACTGCTTCTGGGAGAACCTGAAAGTACATCAGTTTCATTCGGACGGCATGACAGTTATGCATCGAAGGGTGTTACGGTTGAACGATTTTGACTACGAGGATTATGCTTGAATAGTTGAAGTTAGATACAAACTACTTCTCCCTGCAGATCGACTGTGCGAAGCAGGAAAGTTTCTATATTTCTCTCTGGTTGCCCCAGAAAAATGCTTGAAAGTCAAGTGGTCAGCGAAAAAATCTAGCTTCTCCCTGCAGATCGACTGTGCGAAGCAAGAAACAGTTTCTATATTTCTCTCTGGTTGCCCCTGAAAAATGCTTGAATGTCAAGTGGTCAGCGAAAAAATCTACGTAGATTGTTGCGAGAGCCCTTACTACGCCAGTATTGGGAGAAACAAAGCAGAATACAATCCGAAAGTTTAGAAGTCTGACAAACTGCAAGCTGTGCTGGACAAACTTTCTTAGTTGAATAAGGTACTAACAGAGAAAATTTAGTGATAGACATCATCATCTTCCATGCTCTTCTCCAGAATGGCTACCGAATTAGTCAATCCCTCTGGGTTCTCTGAATCTACTCGTACATCCTCGAAGTGTTTGAAAAAGGGGTGCGTAGTAACGAGCCCGCCGAAGTCTCCCTCCCAAAAGGAGAAACGTACTAGTTTTTCTTAGCTAGTTCCATGATAGGTGGAGCACCTGTAATGGCATAGCGCAGGTAATTTTCAGCTTCGATTATTCGTTTCCTTCCATATGAACAGATACAATCCAGAAATGATTAGCTACACTGCCGCGGATTCAGACACAAACGCAATTTGGAACAAAGGGATGTTGAGTCTGCTTGAGCTCCATCCTATGACCCACCATCCGATGGGGTACTCCAGCAGATGCATGCACGTTCTGTGCTGTTCTTCATGTTGGTGCCCGAGGATGGCTTTACGTTGGAGTTTAAAAAGAGCTCTAAACGACCTATCGCTCAGCAGCAACACCCCTCCGGTGCCCAGCTGCCATACCATCTGAAGCAAGTATGAGGGATGAGATACTGCCAGGGTGCTCAAGTCTAGACAGGAGCGGTCGAGATGATGAGGTTGGGTTCGAACCACGGACCTTCCGGCCCGTAAGTTCGCGCCTTAACCACTGAGCTATCCCGAGCAACATTCTGCCAATGGAACGTTATGGCACTCTTAAAAAGAATTTGTGGAAAGTCAACGGATTTACAAATGTATACACCTATGGATCAAGACAAATGCGTCCAGTTCAGTCTGCTCAGTTTCTCGGTTGAAAGCTATGTACCGAAGTGAGCTGATTTCGGCAGCAATCGCCTTATTCTCCGAATATAAGGAGAGTAAGGGAGTCACACGTTAGAATCGATGGTTCAATCAGTTCACTGACGTCAAATAGCCCTGTATGTCAGGTGTCAGGGAGTCAAATCAAAGCAGTGAATGCGACAACTCTGATGAACGACTGCCACACACGATTGCGTGACACAACCATATCTGTCAGGGTTGCTAATAATTGGTTTGTCCTGTCCCGTGATTCCATTCCAGGGGAGACGCGTTTGCCAACGCGAGTAACTAGACTAGTAAGAACTTTCGTGCCCCGTCGCTCCTGAGTCATTTCCATCCGACACAAGGCTGGGCGGGATCTATAAGGTAAGTGATCCTCTGCGATACAAAACACACGACCAATCAGCCTAATATCTGGTGTGTGACTAGCTTATCTATTTAGAGAGAGCGAGTTTTCTCAAAATCCACCTGGCGTACTTCGGTAGTACTGGTATAGTGTTCCTATCAGGCCCACGCAATGCTTCGGGGACACCGATGGTCAAACACAGGGAGCCTTTGAAGGCTTTCCACACGTACACGATCCGTAAAGTAAGACAGATAGGACCGTTGACAATCAAACTGCTGTCACGTTTGCGCCACACGTATCGGGGTAATAAAAACGCTGCTCTGGTATTCCCAGTTTTCATGGTGATTTCGTCCTTTGCCAATCAGCCGGGATTTGGACACCTGCCCAGATCGACGAACTTATCAGCGACGTCGATCAGTTCGAATGAAAGCATGAGGTTCAGATCTGATCTCATCCAGTCTTACGGAAACATGATTTACAGATTCGAAGGGTATACTGAACTGTGCAGCAAAGTTATTAAGTGTCTTAAAATAGTTTGCGCTTCTAAAGCCTCTGATCCGAGAGAAATATTGCAGGCGTACTTAATGTCCATGGGCGGACACTCAGAGAGTCTTTTTTATCCCCGAGGTTTAAGTGGCAGATAAGGAAAATGCAAGCAGAATATTGACTACGAAGCTGACGGGAAAATTTTGCCGCACCTATGAGAACAGGCATATAAAGCCTTCATGAGACATAGCTACTAGGCTGATGCCATGGTGGTTTCCGCACGGGTTCTTGACCCTTTCTGGATATGAAAATCACCGTAGAGGCGCTCCATTCTATTGGATTTTTTCCTCATCCTAGACATTTTATAAGTCACTTAGCTAATCACAACGTACTCGTCACCTTTGAACAGCGAGGATGCAGGCATTATGGTCCATTTGCTTAGTTGTACTGAAGCAGTGAGATTGCAGGCTGGACTTTCGTTGCCAATGGCGGACTGATTTTGACTTCCCACTCGGGTTCAGTTAGTCATTCCAGTTGGTGAGTCGGCAGGGCGCAGCTGACACAAAGTGCTCAGCCCATTGCTCAAGGTGATTCTGTGAATGGATTGAGGTCCAATCCTTATCAGGGATCGTTTCACTGACATCCATCCTCCACGAACAAGATGATCGCATTATATGAAACAGGTTACGCTTGTTCCTTCACACCTTTCTCAATTTCTCCGGCTTTTGCGATTCACCAGCGCTCTCTGTCCATCTTCGGGCTCTCCATTATTCGGCGTTCCAGGGATCTGTGGGCATCATCATCATCATCATCGACAGCATGACATCAGTGCTCAACACCAATGCTTCACTGCCGTACAGCCATGACTTATTTGAAAGCCT